CACCGATAAAGCTCACTTATATTTTTTTTGGCGCAGTGGTGGTGCTGTATGGTGCTTTACTTTGCAAGTCGCACAAAAGAATCATTTGTCCACATCTGAGTCCATTTTAACGTTCTTCACCTCCCGCGCACAAAGACTACATAATGGAGGGCAATGGCTGACATGCAGTGACACGTGACGTCCAGACCTCGATATGCGAACTTCAGTGGTTGAAAAGCCCCAGAAAACACAAAGAGAGCACTGAGTTACGGTACTTTGACTTGTACTGCAAACAGTAACTACAATCAACAGGGACGTAGGAGACCGAAGGTCAATGTTCTCCATAACCTGTTCAAGACAGGGGCGCTGTGACGGAGCTTGACGGCTTTTATTTTGCGAGAGAATTTTATCTTTTTAATCGTTTATTTTTCGCTTTTCTATTGGCCATCTTGGTCTTTTAACCCATTTTCATCCTCTTAAATGTTTTTGTGATATTGTGTATTAGTGAATTACTCGCCAACGTTACTCGCCAAATTTGCGACGATTTTTAAACAGTTTGCATCTAATGTATGATCGAACCATGTCAAACCTGTTACATGTCGGTTATCTTTCAATTCCACGGTTCTCTCTGTATAGAGTACCGAAGTGTGACGTCACTGTGAATCAGAAATTGAAGTGCAAACGAATGGAGTACACGCGCGTGTTGGTTCACGCGCTGGTTCTCTCGCTAACGCCTTTGACACACGTAACTGTGCATGTGACGTATTCCACTTTTGTACTCTAGTCCAGTTCGTAAGTGCGACGTCACTTTAGTTTAAACCACTCCCACTGCACACGTGCACTGCACATAGGGTTAAATGCATTGATTGCCGTTTACATGGAACCATGGAAACGGAAGTTAACGCGCAACTTCAGCGATTGTCCAATGAGAGCCTGCAAATCGTGGGGCGTCCGCTTTTGTAACGAAGTCACAAACCGGATAGAGTACAGAAGTGAAGTGAATATGTCACGCGCACAGTTACGAGTGTCAAAGGCATAGTACCAACTACAACGACTACCGTGGCACCCGTGCACCACCGAGATATCCAGTGCTCTCCGGGACTGATTGATTCACATCTACCATGAAGTTTGCCGTTACATGTCATGTGATCGGATTCCTGCTCACCCTAACCCACATTGATGATAAGGTCTACGAGACGGTACAACTGTAGACTTAAGGTTTGCTGAATGTGATGATGATAATGATCATGTAACTCTTGGTGCAACGAGAAACTCCAGATGTCATTTGCTTCAGCATTTCTGCCTCGTAAGCAATTCATCAAAACTCTTAAATACTCAAAGAGACTGTCACGGCAACGATGTAAATCCTGACCCAGGCCCTCCAGTGAACTCCTCGTGTGATGATACTCCAGCATCGTGTGGAGTTTGCGGTGATGAAGTCGGTTACTCCCCTGTTAAAGCTATCCAGTACAAAGAATGTGAGAAATGGAATCATGCAGCTTGTGTCAACCCTTAGTAGCAAATCATATTATCTTCTTGTTAATTCCAGCTGTATTTGTGACGGATGTGGACATCCTTATTTCTCTGACTCATTACAACAGATTTTGAAACTGTAAGTCCTTGAAGTCCATTGGAATCTGCTCAGCTTTTAATTAAGTGACGATCAACCGCTTGCTGCTTCTTCTCCAAAACCCTGCAGAGCCAAGAAACCGGGTCTTGGTCATGGTAAAGACAGGGGACAAACTTTCAGAGTCTGAAAAATAAGACTACAGAACTCCTCGCCATCCTCCATGACCATAAACCTGATATTGTCATTTGTACGGAAACTTGGTTGAATGGCAACATACTTGATGCTAAGCCTTTTCCACCTGAGTTTGCCATCGTCGGGAAAGATCGTGCTGATGGTTATGTGGGGGCGCGGGGGGGTACTGATAGGTGTTAAAAATCTCCTGTGCCATCTCATTGATGAACTTGGCACTGATTCTGAATGCATCTGGGTTCATGTTGAGCGTGGACCAAAGAAAAAGGTGTACGTTGGTGCTGTTTACAACTCAGACTCCTAGCATGGACCAATTGACATGTTGAACTCATCTCTGTCAAAACTTCATCAATCTACCAAAGGTAATTGTGAAATCTGGTTGGGAGATTTCAACCTTAAGGATATCAATTGAATCGATCAGTCAGTTATAACAGCTAGCAATGTTTCAGCTCAGCGTACTAAGTTAATTGACAATTGCAACCTCTTTAATCTTGACCAAGTAGTTACTGAGTCTACACACAAGGACAGTATCCTTGAACTGTTTCTTACCATCTACCCCATTGATGTTGAGTCTACCAGTGTTTTACCTGGTGTCAGTGATTATTGTATGGTGAAGATCCTCGTCAATACAGGTTGTACAACCACTAAACCAGTTCAGTGTAAGTTTTTCCTTTACAAGAAAGGGAAGTTTGAGGATCATTGTAAAGATTTGAAAATTTTTGATAAAAGGATTCCTCAAAGAAATGACGTGCAGATCAGTGAATGATAACTGGATTCACTTGAGAGACTCCCTGAATGTGCTTACCGACAAGTACATCCCGTCAACGTTTTCTTCAACAAGATCCAACTTACCGTGGTTTTCTCCTGCGCTCCGTCGCCAAAGCAGAAAGCTTAAAAGATTGTACAACAAACAAGAGAGAACCAACTCTGTTGAAAATTCAAGACTTTTTAGAAGCGCCCGTAGAGTGTACAAAAGAAATAGTGCGCACCAGGAGATTTCCAGCACGCTTGAGGAAGATCTCCAACAGAAACCAAAAAAAAATTCTGGAAATACGTCAAATCCAAACGCAGTGACAATGTAGGTGTCCATCCGCTGAAGAATGGCTCTGAAACAGTTCTGACAAAGTTGGTAAAGCAAATATCCTCAACGATTTTTTTCAAATCAGTTTTCACCAAAGAAAATACTGGTAATCTTCCAGACCTACAGCAGATTGTTCCTGACACTGAACCACTCGAGGTTGTTGCCGAGGGAATAGAGAAACTTTTGCATGATTTAAATCCTTCCAAAGCCTCTGTGCCGGACAGCTGCAGCATTCCTAACAAAATCCTTAAGGAATGCAGCGAGGAGCTGGAACCATTAGCAGCAGCCCCGTTCAACCAATCCTTGTCATCCAGCGAACTCCAAAGATGACTGGACCACCGCCAATGTTTCTCCAGTCTTCAAAAAGGGCAGTAAGAGTGATCCCATCAGCAACTATCACCGCATATCTCTCAACCCTGTTGTGTGAAAATGCCTTGAACATGTCAGTCACCGCCATAATGTACCACACTGAATGTCACCAGATCTTAACAGACTGCCAACATGGGTTCAGGAAAAAACAGGGGGTGTGATTCACAACTTCTCATCACCGGCGAAAATAACGCCAAGTCAATTGAAAAAGGAAAAGAGGTGGATGCAATATTTTTTTATTTTTTCAAAGCGTTCGATCGCGTTCGAACTGAAACACTACGGGATCACCGGCAATGTGTACAATTGGATTTCAACTTTTCTTACAACACGCTCTCAGCAAGTTATCTTGGAGGGTGAAAGATCTACAACAGCAGACGTTTTATCTGGCATGCCCCAGGGCATAGCCCTGGGCCCCCTGCTGTTTCTCCTCTATGTAAATGACATCCCAACACATATGCCTTCAACAGACTGTTTGTTGATGATGGATTACTGTAAAGAGAAATCAACTCTCCTTCAGATGCTGCTTCATTTCAAAATGATTTAGATGCCCTTTGCAGATGAGAAAAAGAATGGGAAACGACATTCAATTCCGACAAATGCTTCGTTATGCTCGGCTGGCCTCTACTGGAGAAAAGGCGAAGCACTGCAAGACTTGCCGTGCTTCATAAGATTACCCATGGCCTAGTTGAAGTCCAACATGACCTCAAAACCCAATCCAGAACTCATCGTAGATCTCATCACCAGTTCTCCTACCACCGACCAAATGCAAAAACGAAATTCTAGCTTCTAGCCATCCCTCATACCACACTGGAATGGTCTACCGGAATCCACTGTTAACCTACCCAGCCTAAACCAGTTCAAGAATGTCATGTCTGATTTTATTTTAAGGGAGGGAATCAAAACATTATCTTCTAGCTCCCGCACGCGTCCCAAACTCTAGCGGGATGCAGAATCTTCTGTTTTGCTGGAGCAACCTGATACAGATACAGAAAAGGACACCGGATTGTCCAACTCGGCGACACCGTTGCACTGAGTTTGATACGGTGGAACCATAACCCTGGGTTTACGGTCAAACTCTGCCGAGCCTGACTGCTGAAATATTGATTGATCTCGTTCAAAGATAATTGTCCATAATACCGTAATTATGTTGCTGTTTTTTAATACAGGCAACCCACCTCGAGCAGAAGCACCCCCTCATCGGTCGAAAAGAACCTCGTTGGCATGGTAGTTGGGAGAATTCATTTTAATTGTTGGGAGCGATGCAACCGCAACGCTTGCGTTTCCCAGTCGTTTGTGAACGAAGTTAGTAACATTGGTGTCCATTATAATGGAAATTAAGGGTGCACCCACGGAAATAGGCCAGAAGTACGTCTGCCGAGCTCATTAATAAAAGCTATACATGTACACCCAAAATATTCTATATTAGAGGGTCCTGAGAACCACTGGGCTGAACCTATGGGCTGGACTCAGGGCTTCCAATTGGGAACCATTTGGATGCAATCGGGTCCGAAAGTGGCACTATATGAGCCATTTTGCAGAGGGATGCATTTTCCAAATGGCTACTTTTCCTCGCAGTGAATCTTCCTTCATTTCAGGTGTGGTCTGCTTTGGGTGACAATTTTTGCAAAATTCATTGGTCAACCCACTAAAAATTGAAAGGAAAATGAAAGGGGGCATGTCGAACATCATTTTTCTGTGCAGCCTGAATACCTGTGAGAGTTGTATTTTTAAACATTTGTGAAGTATGGGGATTAATCACTGCTGTCTACGGAAATTTATTTGCTGCGGTGCACCCCAAAGTAGCCGCCGTTGCTAAATAAATAGCGCCCTCTCTTGATCCATCCTAGATTTTTACACTTCGTATGAGGGCGGTGTTAATTGTGTGAGTTTGCGTCAAGTTGCGTGCAAACGCCTGCAGGATGGAAAAAAATAATGCACCTGTACATGTACGACTGTCGACTACATACTGTACGCCGGCATATTCCTATATTACAACTTCAACCATGTCAACAAGAAATCGAATCTGCTAGAACTTTGTAACATTCATCTCTGGCGATTTCTACGTTCAACATGGCTGGTGCTACCTTTCTGCCCAAAGCAGTTCTGTTTGTAGCAATCTCTGCCTTTGGATTGTGCGTTTGCTTTTTAACCGTGTTCCAGTTCGGAATGTTTTTGTTCAGAGAGGGCCTAGCCATGGGTGTCGTTGACGGGAGACAATCTGCTCACGACAAGGGTAAAATAAATTTATCTTGAGAATGAACATTATAGGCCTACTTACAGATTTGTGTCCGAGCAATTGGAAAAACATACGAGGCCCTTTTTTCTTCTTTAGAAATCCTTACTTTTAGAATGTAGCTACCGATAGAAAACTGGCCCCTCACTGCCAAAAATGGCAAGAATTTAACACTTTCAATGTTATGGTAGAGTTCATGGTCTTGGTCTAGGATTGCCCCCGACTGCAGAGTTAATTACTGGAAATATTATCAGTAATTGAGTGCAAAAACATACGGTTGAGGTATAGTAAAGATTAGGCCCCACTCTATTATTCCATTTTGTGTTGGCCATTTACATGTATTCTTAAAAGTTTAACTAGGCCTATGTAGTTTGCACCTGAAGAGGCAATCCAATCTTTATTACTGCAGGCGGCAGACAGGTCCCCTGTGTCTGTTGAGGGTGACTGTGTATACCCTTAGAACTATGGGGCTCTATAATTCCACCTCTCTGAGAGCATGGAGACTGAGGAAGAGAGAAGGGGTACTGAATGCCTGCCAATGAGTCTGGCTGGTTTTCTTACAAGATCTCCTGAATACCAGTTCGTCGTTTGACAAAGGCTTACTTTCCAGAGTTGTTACCTAGTCATTTTTGGAAAGTTGAAGTCATAAGTCAAAGCTGGTAGTTACCAGTCAAAAATCTTTAAAAAATGGCAATTTGTGTCCAAGTCGCGTGACTCGAGTCGACATTTCTGGTCTGTGGACCACATGTTTGTAGCCAGTGAAGACCTAGCCCTAGCCTCTATAGACAGGAGAGACGGAAAAGGCCTGATATCACCTGATATTTCCACAGATGCTGCAGATCCATATGTGAGTGACTTGCTGCTGGATCTTCTACTTATTGCTGCATTCGTTCTCCAGCATTCCCTGTTGGCTCGCAGGCCATGGAAAGACTTCATCCAATGGCTGGGCCTGGATGTGGTGGAGCGATCCCTGTATATACTGGCTACATGCGGAGCTCTGCAGGTAGAGACAAAGATAAACAATTGATTGGACAATGTATATCATTGTTTATCTTTAGTTTCCTAACGGTAGTGCTGCATGCAATGCATTGGTGCATTCTCCAAACACCAGAACTGTAGAAACCCCACAACCGAAGACGAATTACTCTATTATTAGTAAAGTCTGTGTTACCGTTAGCTTTAGCCGAATGAGAATAAGTGCCTGAACGTCCTCTCCTGTTCAGATTTCTGGAGCCCCTTGCCTTTGTTTTCTCTTTCTGGGCAATGCGTCCTGTTCTGTGTCCTTTTTTCTTTTTTTTCTGCGAATGTTTCTGTTAACCCTAACCCTCCTCAGTCCTTCATCTGTTGGAGTATTGAGGAGGGTTAGGGTTTATGGAATATCAGAGAGGTCTTCCCCAAAAGGGCAAGCATTGGAAAAAATGCCCAAAACAAACATACCATGCATACCATTAACCCCAAAAGAGCTGGGGGTGGAATCTGCACCTCTGGGTCATTCCATGAGGTTGGGGCACAATTTGAGATGGTGTCCATTGTTACGTGGGTTCTGTAAAAATAAACAGCTATTTCCCCCTATGTGGATTCCAAATTGACATTGTTATACATCTTGCAAGGCTGAATACAGAGGTGTGTGTTACTTTTACAGACCTAGAGGTCATGACAGGTGATAAAAGTTGACCATGTGCCCCAACCTCATAGAATAACCCCTCTCCCAACATTTTCTCAAATATCATCACAGTTAATTTTTTTGGACAAACTGAGTCTTAAGGAATTTTAAGTTACATCTGCTGGTCATTTTGACACCAATTTTGTGAATATTAGGCATTCCATTCTCGCACAATATGCATTTTTCCGAGACAGGTCAGCCCCCCATCACATTTTTTCCCATTGTCATGCTCAGTACACATAGGCTAGTAGGGGCCAGTATGAGGCAGTAAACGTCAAATGACCATTGGAGTATGTCCGAAGCCTGCAGTGCTTGTCCTAGTGAATTAAAACTTCACATTTGGACTCATAATGGGCATCTTTACACATATGCGAAGTTTCAAAACGATCACGCACGTGACAGCCAAGTTCTGGGGGATCACCCCAACTCTGAGGTGTTCCCCCCCCCAACAGCTCTCTTAGGGTTAAAATGTCAGCACAGGATATTGAAAGAGTAAATGCTTTTGATCCCAGCATCAGATGTTAAATACACCTGCATAATATCTTTCTTGTATCTTTCTTGCACCCCTTGTCTGACAGACACTGATGCAGTACTGGCGACCTCTCTTTCCTGAGTCCGTACTGTGGGCCTTGGACACAGACAGCCGTTGGGTGTGGACTGTTTTGGGGATTTTAAGCTTCCTGGGCTGGCTGTGTGTGGTCGGGGTGGTCATGGTGCTGGACTATGCCGAACTGGTCGGAATCAAACAAGTAAGAATACCGGAAGGGCAGAACTTTGTTTCTTGGCTAGTTCTGCACTTACGTTCAACATCCTGTGTCTAGCAGAAACCTTTTTCTTTTCTAACCGAGAACTGAGAACAGAAGCCATGGTTACAGGGTTCCTGTGTTGAGGGGAACCCATTGAGAATGCTAACAGCATAGAATTTTCTGCTATGGTTAGTGTAGAGTCTTAACTTGTGGTAAGCAGAGCTGTAATGTATGAATGTTTCTTTGGCCATTTTTACATTGAGTTCTGATTAGCCTTAACATCTTTGATGACTCCTCAAATTTAATAAATACATAGCCCACCTAGAGAATATATCACAACTTTTGTAAACCTAAGTAGGTTAGGGCTAATGAAGTAAGAGAACTTAAAACGCAAGTAATCTGTTCAAATTTCACCAAGGTGAGTTTAATAAGAGAAAGGGGAAAGCAAAATTCTTGGAGCTCAGAGGCTCGTCTCCCACCACCGTTACAGGACACTGGATAGGGCAAATACGCTTCACTAATATTTGTGAAGGAAATTAGTCATGGCTATGGACATAAAATCATCCTAGTCCATGCACGCACATTTAGTGTCATGCATGTTATTGCTCAAATAAACTCCATCCAATGAGCGCTCAACAAAAATTGCCATGCATGTGTCCTTTCCAGTGCCCTCTAAGGGCAGTTGCTGACAAGCAAATCTCGCATTGAGATAATTTAGAACTGAGATGATACCGGCAAACTTAAAGATCTTAAAACATTTTTTGAATATGTTTTTCCTGAAGGTATACTACTTTCTGATGGATTTGGATCCTCCCCTTCAGATGAAGTCTCGGGAGTACCAACGCCTTTTCCAAAATTTCCGACATCCTGTAATGACAGGACTGTTGATCATCTTGTGGGCCGTGCCTGTAAGTTGAAATAGCTTTCAAGTGAAAGAATTCGTATGAAAAAGTATGAACATGCAATGCGCTTTCAGCCCATATAGGTTACTGAAGCCACTGGCAGCCATCTTACTGTGCCGAATACAAAGGTAGTAAAAAGGCTTGTTTGCCGTTGTTAAAACAACTTACGGCAACAATAGTTACAATGGCAGGCAAGGCAACAATCAGGGCCCAATGTCATGGTGCCACTCACTGCATAATATTGCGATCTCCATTCTGCGCTAACCGTGCTAGCAGAGAAATTTTGCGCTAACCTTTTAAGCACAGAATCCTTAGTTACGGGATGTATGCATGGGCACAAGCCCCAATTCTTCACTTGCCCATGAAATACGTTTGCCCTAAGCACAGAATTTTCTGCTGCAGTAAGCAGTGCCATGATATTAGGCCAAGGCGGCTTCAGTTGATACAAGAGCATTGCGAGTCCTGACTTTTTTTTAATATAACATCAGTGCTTATACCAGAAATTGTCTGCTTACTCTCCCCATAGATCCAAATCATCAAGTCTGAGAATCAAAGTTACAACTTTACACCGTTTTACAGGTTTTACCAAAAAGTCAAAACCAATAACTGTTGTCAGTTAAATAACTTCGTCTATGTTTCACAGCTATCGGAGTTTTCACATTTTATTCCACTCTTCATTCCAGTCCTCGCTCATAATTCATTGATCTTTTATTTTCCATATGCATCGTAATTTTATTGGTCCCGATTTATATCTAATTTTGATTTTTTTTCATTGTTCACTGCTGGTTTCTGTGTTTGTTCTTCATTCAGTGTTCTTTTATTATTACCAGTAAAATCACTGTATTTTGTTTATTACAAGAGGTCCCGTACTTAGCAAGCCTCGCTTCTTATGAGACCCCTCCACTTTCTGTTGTCGCCGTTAAGCATTGTATACCTGTATATCTCTTTTTCTTGACTTCTGAAGTGGAAATAAAGTTTAAAAAAATCTTGGTTCTTTGTTATAACCGAACAGGTCATGACCATGGGCAGGCTTGTGTTAGCCTTGTCGCTGACCATCTACACATTTTACGGCCACAGTCTGGACATGAGGGACTACGACTACATCTGTCAGCAGCATCAACTGAAGAAAAGAACTCTCCGGTCACCCCAGGGTTTCAGAGCCACAGGGGGGCGAGCTTCATCGGTTGGCTATGGTTAAGATACCACTTACATGTATCTTAACCACCATGGTCTTATATGTTTTAGTTGCCTTTAAATGGTACCCGTGTTTGGGCTGGTGTCTTTTAAAATGTTGACACCAGTGACAGGTGCTTCCACCCTGGTAAGCATTTAATTGTCACTGTGCATTAAGTCATGCGCATTACAATTAAAGCATTTTCTGAGAGACAGATTACAATTTTCCTCCTACTAGTCGGTCTCTCATCGATGATCACAAGATCAAAACTCTTCATACTGGTTCTTGCAGGAACGCCGCTTTAACGAATACGACGGGGTCCAGGCTAAATGTTTGGTACATTGGTCTTTAGGTGTAGCGAAATTAACCGCTGAACGTTTCATTGCCATGTTGAATAGCGCCTTCTCTTGTCTAACTGAAGTGCACCCTTTTGTGATACTATGATTCGCTGTTTTCGTGATGTTTTGCCGTTGCATTCACGTTTGAGGTTT